TAGGCAAAACCATTTAGGACATAAAAATAGGCAAGGACTTCATGAACAAAACACCTAAAGCTTTGGCAACAAAAGCCAAAATAGAGAAATGGGACCTAATGAAACTCTACAGCTTCTGCATGGCAAAAGAAACAGTCACTAGAGTGAATCGGCAACCAACAGAATGGGAAAAAATGTTTGCAGTTTACCCATCTGACAAAGGGCTGATATCCAGAATTTACAAAGAACTCAAACAGATTTACAGGAAAAAAACAACCAAGCCCATTCAAAATTGGGCAAAGGATATGAACAGACACTTTACAAAAGAAGACATATATGAGGCCAACAATCATATGAAAAAATGCTCATCATCACTGGTCATTAGAGAGATGCAAATCCAAACCACATTGGGATACCATCTCACGCCAGTTAGAATGGCGATCATTAAAAAATCTGGAGACAACAGATGCTGGAGAGGATGTGGAGAAAAAGGAACACTTTTACACTGTTGGTGGGAGTGTAAATTAGTTCAACCATTGTGGAAGACAGTGTGGCGATTCCTCAAGGCCTTAGAAATAGAAATTCCATTTTACCCAGCATTCCCATTACTGGGTATATATCCAAAGGACTATAAATCATTCTACTATAAGGACACATGCACACGAATGTTCATTGCAGCACCGTTTACAATAGCAAAGACCTGGAATCAACCCAAATGCCCATTGATGATAGACTGGATTGGGAAAATGTGGCACATATATGCCAAGGAATATTATGCAGCAATCAGAATGATGAGTTCGTGTCATTTGTAGGGACATGGATGAATCTGGAGAATATTATTCTCAGCAAACTGACACAAGAACAGAAAATGAAATACCGCATATTCTCACTCATAGGCGGGTGATGAAAAATGAGAACACATGGACACAGGGAGGGGAGTACTAAACACTGGGGTCTATTAGGCGGGAAAGGGGAGGGCCAGCGGGAGGGGGAGCTGGGGAGGGATAGCCTGGGGAGAAATGCCAAATGTGGGTGAAGGGGAGAAAGGAAGCAAAACACACTGCGATGTGTGTACCTATGCAACTGTCTTGCATGTTCTGCACATGTACTCCAAAACCTAAAATGCAATAAAAAATTAAAAAAAAATCTCATCATCATTACTGTACAATGCACTTCATGCATCTTCTTATTTACCAATTATTGTTACTTATAATTCCTTCCATGGATATTTTGGTGAGGCTTTATAAGACAAAGGGATTTAAGTTAGTCCCTGTTGAACTGTACATGCTCTTGTAGGGTAACACAGTACTGCTCTCAATCGGCTCTTGAATGAGCTTGCTAGAACTCCATATTGACATTTAAATAAAAACAATTTTTGGTTGTTGCCATTGGCTTATTTTTTGGTTTAGCTTATTTTCCTGAGAGAGTGGGTAGAAAAGAGTAATTACTTGATATGGATTTGTGTTGGTATGTGGAGGTATGGGGTAATGGTGGGAGGAAAGTAAATGTTGATAAATAGGAGTTGGAAGACGGGTAGAGTAGAGAGAAAAGGAACAGTCAAGGAAAAGGAATATTAAAGGAAAAGTAACTGTTTTCATACATAGCTTTAGCTACTAGTTAACTTTTTATCATAGCAGCCTGGCAAGGGGCATAGAAATGAGCACTTAAGAGGAATGATGAAACTGTTACCCTCTCTGTTTCTCTTCTCTCTCCTCTTCCTTTTCTTCTTCCCTCCCTTCTCTTTATCACTTATTGAACATCTGCTATGTATATTTGTCTTTGTGTAGCTTCTTTAAGCTGCCACCTACCTTTGCACACATTGGTTGCTATGTAAAAGTGAACCTCAGGAACATGCTTTTTCTTCATAACTTCAGCTCTGCCCAGCTATCTTTAACCTATCCTTTTTACTTGATCCCTTCTCGATTCCAATATTCTAGCTCTTGGCCTGGATATTAATTATTTTCTTTTTTTTGGCCTTGATGTTCTTTCATAACATATCTTTTGGATATCAGTTATAAAGATGAGGAAAACCAAAGTTCTTTATTTGATTTTATACTTTAGTGGAAATAACAGTCTCTCACATATATAGAACATTTTATAATTAAAAATATAACATATCTAACTTGATTCTCATAATGGCTTAGTGAGGCATGTAGAGTTAGTGTTGCTCTCCACATTAGAAATCGGGAAGCTGTGGATGAGCAACTTGTTCAGGGTTATATTGTTAGAAATGAGATAAAATCAGGAATTGGACTTCAAGGCAAGAATGCTTCCATTACAATATAGTTGAGAAAGGTTGATTTTTACTAGAATACTAGAGACGGTTTCGTATTTAGGTGGGTTTAAAAATGGGCTTTGAGTAATGCATAAGACCTGGCTTGAAGGTCTTGCAGGTGGAGAAAACTATGTGTGGAGCAAAGGCTCAGAAGAGTAATAAAACCTGATACTTATAAATAAAGTCCAGGCTAGGCACTTTAAATATATTATCTCTTAATCTCTATAGTGATCCAGGATGGTAGATACTTGACTGATTCTTCCTCTTGTTTTAAATAGGATTTGATGTGGTAGGTAGATATTACTTCTAATTTCCAGAAGATGAAAGTAAGCCTCATAGAAGTTAAATGCCTTTATCAAAGGCACACAGAAAATGTGACATAGTGGAGATTGATAAACATGTGCCTGACATCTCATGACCTTTCTTAGGAGGAAGTGGGAAAGGTTTTATTAATAGTGAATATTTAGGATTAGTAGATGGGAAGCTGAGAATAGTAAGACTGATTAGGTTATTGTAGCTGTCTGCTTGAAAGTCTTAATTGCAATACTATAGCATTTAGACGCTCTTCTTCAGGCACTTGTGAGCCATAGAAGGTTTTTATGCATAGAATTCCCATTATCAGCTATGCTGGGGCAGGTTTAGCTGGCCGCATTGTGCATGATATATCAGAGACAGGAAAAACCAGCGACAAGGAGACCAATTCTAGTTAATTTTAGAAAATATATTCAAACTAACTTGTAAAAGAAAAATAATTCTGCTTGCAAAATTAATCACCTGGGAAGCCTGTGAGTAACTCACAGAGCTGGTAGTTACTTTGCTGAGGCTGAAGTTAACTCAGCATTTATCTATGAATAATTTACCGAAGTATTTTACCTTGGAGTACTCTAGCTAACTTTCCAATAATATGTTCTTAAATAGTGAGAGTACTTTGGTTTTCTACCTAATATTTTTCAAATATAATGAAATTAGAGTACATTCATACTTACCTCAAAGATATATTACTGAGATGGCACAAAGACATTTCACTGTAAAATGTCACTAATATTAATAGCTTTTTGTAATATCTCTCTATTTGACCTTCCTGTGCATTCACAATGTCACTGATCTAATTCAGGCTTTCTTAGAACCTTCCTAAGGATTCATAAATAAGCTTTAACTGATCTTCATAATCAGGATTTTCCTCCTGTAGCTAAACCTCCCCAAGCTAACAGTTTTAAAACTATCTATTGGTTTTCATTTTTACTGGATATTGTGCCATCTCCTTAGCATTATCTTTACTGCCTGAACTAAACTGACATTAAGCCCTACTTAGGCCTTGTTCTTGTTGGTTCCTCTGTCTGGAATATTTTCCCCTTTGTTTTCATCTGGAAATATCCTATTTAATCTTTTTAAAGGCCTACTTGTCTATCAATCACCAATTTTCTAATGACCTCAACAAGAAAAAATTCTGTTTTATATACCGACCAAGGCCTCTGTTATAGTGTTTAGCATACTGCATTTAAAGGACTTGCTCAGGTGTTTCACTTGTTAGATCATATCTTAATATCAAGTGTTAAATTCATTTACACAGCTGTAATCTGGTTCAGAGCTTTTTAGGCAGTAAGTATTCCATAAATGTTTATGAAGTAGATGATTGACTGTATTTTTGTTGATGTCAGAGAATGGTATGTTGTTTTGTTAAGTATATGTATATTAAGCTAGAAACCTGTATTAAAATTTTCTGGTTCACCCAGTGAAAAGATGCTTAGGTAAGATTCTGAAGATAGTTGTTAAAAGCACAGGAATGAGTCATTGCAGTACACAGCTCTCCCTATTCTTCAGATTACTTATAATATGGCACAACATGGGACAATTATGGGCCAAAGAGATGTCATACAGTTCCATACTCTTCCCTGTAGATTGTGTTACTATCAGAGTTAGAGATGTTAGAGTTTCTACAAAACTGAGTCATTGTGGAGACTGGAGAGAATGGTTAGGTTGCAGTGACTATCATCTTTTCTATTTCAGATTTGATTTTGGTTGATTGCTTGCTTGTTTTAATAATTTGACCTCTTAAGGAGTCATTCTTGCAATAGTGAAATTTTACAATTCAATTTCTTATTAAACAGGCAGAGTGTCCTGGCAAAAAAGATAGAGGAAGTGCCATATTCCTAAAGTTTTTTTTTCCCCTGCAGAGAAAGGAGCTTGTGTCATATGGAGTTAAATCCAACTTTGAAAATATTATGGTGAGAAAGTGAGATTTGTTCAGGAGGTAGAACTGTCAATAACTTAATAATCAGAAAGTAATGGTGAAGAAAAAGTTTCAAAATATCCATTATCTACAAGCTTGACACATTGTTGTCTACATAGTACTGCAGTGGGTCTAAGGACATCCACCTGCCTTTGATCCTGTTCATGGAGAGCTTTACGTGGAGAATTCAAAATGGATTGTTTTGATCCTTAAAATGGTATACTGTCCTTACCTGGATCAGTAAGCATTTTTTTTCCCCTTGGGGAGCTTAGCACTTTCCATATTGTATTATAGTGATTGTAAGCATGATAGAACTCCCCTTTAATACTGGGGAGTCAGGTTCTGTGTGCCCTGTATATATGATTTATATCCTCTCAGGACTAAGCTAGATCCTTACATATGTTAACTTCTCAGTAAATGTTCATGGAATAAATAATGAATTATATTACTGTCTAATCTAAAGGAAGCATAGTTTTCAAATTATATAAAAGTATGGATTTTTTCTATACAGGGCAGGATATTTAAAATTGAGAATGTTCCTGAAAATTCAGATATATGATTGTCCAACTCATAGCATTCTTCAAGAATAGAATCAGATAATAGTTCCAGAGTATGTTTGAGATAAGAGAATGCACTATTAGTTAAACATTTTATGAAATTTCCACAGATGCTAATATTTTTAGTTAGAATTTCATTATTATTTTAGTGAATATAACTGATTTGTATGTATACAGCTGTCACTGAAAATAAATAATATAAGATCATGGTCTAGCATATGATTAATCCTTTGTTATTTAAGAGAAAGTTATTTTATTTTGAAATCCACTATGGTTATCTTCCACATGATGAAAAATAAATTCATGAATATAATACCAGATATCATACTAGCAGAAACACCCAAGTGTCTAGAGTCTACAAAACTGAGTCATAAACCAAAAGCAATTAATACCTCTAGTCATTGGCTAAACTAGTTTCTAAAAGATAGTTCTGTTGGCCCAAGGAAAAGCTTCCCCTTTTCCCTCTGAAGGTTCACTAAAAATCATGGTCAAAAACATGTTAATGGGAGAAAAGGCATACAAATTTATTTGATAATAGTTTTATGTGACATAGTAGCCTTTAGAATGAAGGATAGGGTATCTTACCAAAGATATAGGGAAAACTATCCATTTTATGATTAAGTTCAATGAAGTATGAACAGCCATGTAGAAATATGATTAGACAGAAAGGATATGATCCAATGCTAATATACTGAGTGGGGAAACCTAGCAAGGCCTGTCTGTTTAGATTATTCTTGGCCTCTGTGTGCAGCATTTTTTTTTTCTGGGTAGGGGAAAGAGCCTTTCTGGAATGGAGCTCTTATGATTTATAATCAAACGGATAATTTATTTACAGACAGTGTTTTTTTTTTTTTGAGATGGAGTTTTGCTTTTGTTACCCAGACTGGAGTTCAATGGCGGGATCTCAGCTCACCGCAACCTCTGCCTCCTGGGTTCAGGCAATTCTCCTGCCTCAGCCTCCTGAGTAGCTGAGATTACAGGCATGCAACACCATGCCCAGCTAATTTTTTGTATTTTTAGTAGAGATGGGGTTTCACCATGTTGACCAGGGTGGTCACAATCTCTTGACCTCATGATCCACCCACTTCTGCCTCCCAAAGTGCTGGGATTACAGGTGTGAGCCACTGCGCCTGGCCAGACAGTGGTATCTTAAAGTAATATTTTAAAGTTTTATGGCTGGCTTTGGAGGAAAGGGGTTCTTGATTCTAGGACCTTTCTTGGGGAAGAGACTTGGGGTAGAATGAATGAATGGTCAGACACAGGAGAGTAGAAGTTCAGAGAGAGCCACTTCTGAACCCTTCATTTTGAGATATCATTTTCTGAGACCCTACAGTATATAATATAAAACATATTTTATGATATACCTTTATAGTGCTGCAATGGTTAGTCTTATTTGTAAGCTTGTCTAGGCTATGGTACTTAGTTATTCATTGAAATACTACATTGGGTATTGTTGTGAAGGCATGCTGTAGATAAGGATAACATCTACATTCAGTTGATTGTAAGTAAAGGAGACTCTTAATAATGTGGGTGGGCCTATAAAATCAGTTGAAGGCCTTAAGAGCAAAACTGTCCTGGAGAAGGAATTGTGCCTCAAGGCTGCAACACCATTTCTGCCTGAGTTTCCAGACTGCTGGTATATCCTACAGATTTCAGACTTATCAGTCTCCACAATTGCAAGAGTCAATTTCTTAAAATCAATCAATCATCTATGTGTATTAGTCTGTTTTCATAGTGCTAATAAAGACATACCTGAGACTGGGCAATTTACAAAAGAAAGAGGTCTGATGGACCCACAGTTCCACTTGGCTTGGGAGGCATCACAATTATGGCAGAAAGAAGGCACATCATACATGGTGGCAGACAAGAGAAGAGAGCTTGTGCAGAGAAACTCCCCTTTATAAAACCATCAGATCTGATGAGACTTATTCACTATCATGAGAATAGCATGGGAAAGACCTGCCCCCATGATTCAATTACCTTTCACCAGATCCCTCCTACAACACGTAGAAATTATGAGAGCTACAATTCAAGATGAGATTTGAGCAAGAACACAGCCAAACCATATCATTTCACCCCTGATCCCTCCCAAAACCAATCATGCCTTGTAAACAGTCCCCAAAAATCTTAACTCATTTCAGCATTAACTCAAAAGTACACAGTCCAAAATCTCATCTGAGACAAGGCAAATCCCTTTGTACTATGAACCTGTAAAATAAAAACCAAGTGAGTTACTTCCTAGATACAATGGTTAAATACAGCTGGTCCAAATGGGAGAAATTGGCCAAAAAAAGGGGGGCTGCAGTCCCCATGCAAGTCTGAAATCCAGCAGGGCAGTTAAACTTTAAAGCTCCAAAATGATCTTCTTTGACTCTGTGTCTCACATCCAGGTCATGCTGATGCCAAGAGGTGGGTCCTCATGGTCTTGGGCAGCTCTACCCCTGTGGCTTTGCAAGGTACAGCCTCCTTTCTGGCTGCTTTCATGGGTTGGCATTGAGTGTCTGTGGCTTTTCCAGGAGCAGGCTATAAGCTGAGGGTGGATCTACTATTTTGGTGTCTGGAGGATGGTGGCATTCTCCTCACAGCTCTACTAGGTAGCAACCCAGTGGGGAATCTGTGTGAGAGCACCCACCTTACATTTCTCTTCTTCACTGCCCTAACAGAGGTTCTCCATGAATGCTCTACCCCTGGAGCAAACTTTTGCCTGGGCATCCAGGCATTTCCACATATTCTTTGAAATCTAGGTGGAGGTTCTCAAACCTCAATTTTTGACTTCTGTGTATCCTCAGGCTAAATATCACATGGAAGCAGCCAAGGCTTGGGGCTTCCACTCTCTGAAGCCATGACCCAAGCTGTACCTTGGCCCCTTTTAGTCACGACTGGAGCAACTGAGAGACAGGACACCCTAGACTGCACACAGCAGAGGGACCCTGGGCCTGGTCCACAAAACCATCTTTTCTTCCTTGGCCTCTAGGTCCACAATGGGAGGGGCAACTGCAAAGGTCTCTGACAGGCCATGGAGACATTTTCCCCAGTGTCTTGGTGATTAACATTCAGCTCCTTGTTATTTATAAAAATTTCTACAGCCAGCTTGAATTTCTTCTCACAAAAATGGGGTTTACTTTTCTCAGAAAATTGCATTGTCAGGAGGCAAATTTTCCAAACTTTTATGCTCTGCTTCCCTTATAATACCGTATGCATTTAACAGCACCCAAGTCACATCATGAATGTTTTATTGCTTAGAAATTTATTCCACCAGATGCCTTAAATTGTCTCTCTTAAGTTCAAAGTTCCACAAATATTTAGGGCGGGGCAAAATGCTGCCAGTCTCTTTGCTAAACCATAACAAGAGTCATCTTTGCTCCAGTTCCCAACAAGTTCCTCATCTCCATTTGAGACCACCTCAGCCTGGATTTCATTGTTCATATCATTATCAGCATTTTGGTTAAAGGCATTCAACAAGTCTCTAGGGAGTTCCAAACTTTCCCACATCTTCCTCTCTTCTGAGCCCTCCAAACTGTTTCAACCTCTGCCTGTTACCCAATTCCAAAGTCACTTCCACAGTTTCAGGTATGTTTTCAGTAGCACTCCACTCTCAGTACCAATTTACTGTATTAGTTTGTTTTCATGCTGCTGATAAAACATATACCAGAGACTGGGAAATTGACACACAAGAAAAGAGGTTTAACAGACTCACAGTTCCATATGGCTGGGGAGGCTTCAAAATCATGATGGAAAGTGAAAGGCACATCTCACATGGTGGCAGACAAGAGAAGAGAACTTGTGCACAGAAAGTCCTCTTTATAAAACCATCAGATCTTGTGAGACTTATTCACTATCATGAGAATAGCATGGGAAAGACCTGCCCCATAATTCAATTATCTTCCATTGGGTTCCTTGCATAACTTGTGGGAATTACAGAAGCTATAGTTCAAGATGAAATTTGGGTGGGGACACAGCCAAACCATATCACTGTGTATCCATATATCTATTCACTCATCTAGTCTATTGATTCTGTTTCTCTGGAGAACTCTGACTAATACACATTTTAATAATAGCTAACACTTACATGGCACTTATATTCTAGGCAATGCTTTACATATATTGTTTTAGATATATTCACTCATTTAATTCTTATTCACACAAGATGAGTATTATCATTACTGTCATTTTAAAGGTGAATAATCTAAGATACAGAGAGTTTAAATAATTTCTCAACATTACACAGCTGGTCAGTGATAAATACTTCTCAAAATGATACATTATGTTCCTGGACAAAAATCATAAAATGAAATAGAACAAGAGCAGACCTTCATTAAAATTTTTTTCTTTTCTCTTTGTGTGGACTTGGTTTTGGAATTTTTACCATTATGCTTACCACTGGCCTAATATTAATGCTATTGCAAGTAGTTAACATTTGGTAAGCATATCAAATGTATGCCAAACTTTTTACATATATTGTCTCATTATTCTCTCAAGAACCTTATGAACTTGGTACTATTGTTTACCATATTTTATAATGCAGTGGAATATTAAGAACTCAAACTCAGTTATCTCTGACTCCACAATCTTTACTCTTAATTTTTTTGCCCCTTGGGGAATCATGGAATCCTAAGAAGTTTGAGAAATCTTGTTGTTCAGGTAGTTCAAAGACTTATCTAATGAAGTTGTCATATAGCATTTCATATGATATTAATCCAATCTAATCTGGAATCTCTCCATCAGTGCAAAGGCCTGAGCAGGCCAGCCAAATGTTATCTGGTGGGCCAAGATCCAAGCCAGACATACTTTCTGAGGCAGTCTAAAGCAGAGGAAGTGGTTGAGGTAGAACCAATCTGCAGTCTAATAGGGGGAAGTTGAAAATAAGGAGGTTGAGTAACAAGACACAAATAGTAATTCCAATAAAGAAATTGTGGGCTTGTAAAGGAAAACATCTGCGTAATAACTAGATTGAAGCAGACACTTGCCTGGGATATTTTAGCAAGCTAGTAGCTATATGGTTAGAATGTTGGGCTACTTTAAAAGTATAGAATTGAGATATAGAGCTTACTATTTCTATTATGACACATTTTAGTACTTAGAAAATTCTCCCATGGATGAAATAGAAGCATATGCTTCTTTAAAACTGTATCCATTAGTTGTAATTTTGAAACCACAGTGCAAATATACTTTCTTTTCCATCATTTTAAAACCACCAGTCATTCCCTAATTCTTCTCCCAACCTTTCTTACCAAGTATTTATCAGTTATCAGCATTAAAGAGCTTTTTGAGAGGCATTAGCCATCCTAATTGTGTGTTATTATAAATATTAAGAAAATAGGATGACAAATGGTGAAGCATTTACTCTTGTAATGGTGCTAACTGACATAGTCATTGGAATGGAATTTTCTGAAAAAGGGATGATAACAATTTAGCCATGTTTAGTTACAGCCTAGATACTGAGAACAAGCCACCACCTTTACCCTGTGAACCCTGCAAATTTGAGACTGGTCTCAGTTAATTTAGAAAGTTTATTTTGCCAAGGTTGAGGACATGTGCCCTTGACACAGCCTCAAGTAGTACTGAGGACATGTGCCCAAGGTGGTTGGGCCTAGCTTAGTTTTACACATTTTAGGGAGACATGAGACATCAATCAATATATGTAAGAAGTAAATTGGTTCAGTCTGGAAAGGCAGGACAATATGAAGCAAAGGCAGGAAGACTCAAAGTGGGGTGGGGCTTCCAGGTCACAGATAGGTGAGAGACTAATGGCTGCATTCAATGGCTTTAAAAGAATGAGAGAGATTTTCTCTGAGCAATTCCCAGCCTGAAGTGGCCCTAGATATTTTCCTTTTACATGTATGAGGAACATGTCAGTAAAAGCCAAAAATGAGTTCTGAGAAGTCAGAGTCCATTCTACGCTCTTTGAAATGTGTCAGGTTAAATAAAATAATACAAATAAAATGCTTAGTGCATTCCTTATTAGTAAAACTTCAGTAAATGAAAGTAATTAAATACAGGGAGCAATTGCTGTTGGCAAACATATTCATGATCCTGAGAAATGAAGTCTGAGAACCTGATAGCTAAGGAAAGCAGGAACACACACACACACACACACAGACACACACACACATACACACACACACACACAACAGGCATCACAGTCTGAAATTGTTTTGTGAGGGATAAACTGTCTGAGACAATTATTTTGTTATAGAGTAGAGAAATAAGTTCAAAGTAGCTTAAATTCCTTTAAATATGATTTCCTTAAAAGAATCAGGTATATTTTAGAAAGGCTTCCCTACAAAATGAAAATAAAAATTTTATTTTAATGGGTTAAAATCTAAGCTACCTGAAAAACTTGTTTCTTAAAAATGACTGATTCCGGCTGGGCGCAGTGTCTCATGCCTGTAATTCCAGCACTTTGGGAGGCCGAGGCAGGTGGATCACGAGGTCAACAGATCGAGACCATCCTGGTCAACATGGTGAAACCCCGTCTCTACTAAAAATACAAAAAATTAGCTGGGCACGGTGGCCTATAATCCCAGCTACTCAGGAGGCTGAGGCAGGAGAATTGTCTGAACTCAGGAGGTGGAGGTTGCGGTGAGCCGAGATCGCGCCATTGCACTGCAGCCTGGGTAACAAGAGTGAAACTTCGCCTCAAAAAAAATTTTTTTTTAAAAAATGACTGATTCCACATGGTTTCAGATAGACAGGTGTTTGTCTTGTTTGGTTAAGTTTTGGTGTTACTATGTCAGATTACTTGACAACATCAATTCAACATAAACTAATTAGCACCTTGGATCAGGATCTCTATTGATTGTTGGGGAGTTATAGAAATAAGTGAGATCAGATTCTGCCTTCAAGGAGGGAACAATCTAGAAGGAAGACGGGCATACAGCCACGTAGATTAATAGCAAATGTGTTTTAGTCACTTTGGGCTGCCATAACAAAATGCCATAGACTGGGTGGTTTAAACAACAAACATTTATTTCTCACAGTTGCAGGGATTGGAAGTCTGAGATCAAGGTGCTAGTATATCTGAATTCCTGGTAAAAGCCCTCTTTCTGCTTTATAGATAGCTGTGTTATTGTATCCTCACATAGCAGAGAACAGAGAGGGAGAAAGTAAGTCCTCTCATGTCTTTTTATAAGGGTACTTATCCCATTCATGATTACTCTACACTCATGACCCAATTACCTTTCAAACTCCGCTTATTTGGGCCCATCATGCTCCACCCCACGTGGGAGGGATCATATAGGCAAGAGAGTGCAGGAACTGGTCAGCTACTTTAGCACCAGAAGGAGCAAATTCCATGCAGGCTCTGCAGCAGTGCCCAGGTTGGGGTGCCTGTGACCCCAAGGCTTCAGAGGGCATGTTACGATGGGTCCTTTGTCTCATTGCATGGAGTAGCTGCCCTCTGTCAGTGAGGGCAAAGGGCCAGTGTGACAGCCTTTTTTGGTACCCATACTTGGTGGGTCCTGAATTCTTTTCTGGTATCCAAGAGAATGAGGTCATAATTGAAGGATGGTAAGTGTAGAGAATTTTATTGAGTGATGAGAACAGCTCTCAGTAGAGAGGGGAGCTGGAAAGGGAACGGGAAAGGCAGGTCACTTTCCCTGAAGTCAAGTTGCCTGTCTGCCTCTCTCCTCCAAAGTCAGTTTGCCTCTGATGTCTGGCCATTGTCTTTGAAGTCAAGTCACCTCTCCCTGACATCCAGCCGTTTCTTCTCTCTACTGGCTGAATCTGCAGTCTTTATAGGTACAGGATGGTGGGTAGGGCAAGCCATTGGTAGGTTTGGAAAAGGCAACATTTGATTGGTAAAAAGACATTATTCAGAAAGAACCAATCAGGAAAGAGCAGAAAAAGAGGAATGGAAGTTCTCACTTTGGGCTGCAGGTTTCAGGCTACATTTGTCTTGAAGGTGGAGTTTCCACCGGGGACCCACCCCTGTCTGCCTAGAGTTTCTCTGCCTCCTGCCTCTTTCAGTATGTAGTGGGAGCCAGAGTGATGCTATGGAAGGAGCATAGGCCTTGGAGCCAAGTGGGCTAGGGTAGGAATTCTGTTTCCCCTATTTACTGCAATGTGGTTTTGAACCTGCCCCTCTTAACCTGTACATAAAGATGGAAAAATTTGTCTTTATAATTCTTTTGAAGATGGAACTGATACATGTAAAACATCTAATTTGTTCTGGTTTTGGAACCAGAACAAATTTTACTTATTTGTGTTAAGTAAAATGAAGTTATGTATATAACTGTGTCTGTTTTTAAGAAGCTCCTAGTTCAGTGGGGCCATGTAGATATTCAGTCTATACTACAGTACAATAATAGATGGTACATTAGTCTACATGATAGGAAAGAAAGGGCTTCTCAGAGAAGGCATCTTAAGAAAAATATTGAGGAATGTAAAAGGAGCAAATAGAGTAGGGAGAGTTTATAGCTGAAGGAATAGCATTTGCAAAACATGAGATTTGAAAGAGAGCTTGTCTTGGTTTTTCTAGAAGCTGCAAGTAGCTCTGCATGGCTAGAATGTAAGTGGAGGATGGTAAGAGGTAAGACTGAATCATAGACGGGTTCAATAAAAACCTTAGGTAAACTCTCTTATGCAATCTTATTATAACAGTAAGAATCTTACATAATCACAAAGGATTTAGATAGTATGAACTCCTTTGAAGATTTTAAGCACAAATTAAAACATGAGTTCAATGTCAGTAACTGTAGACTATTGGGAAGTTATATCCATGAGGCCTGAAAGAAATGTTTCTTGTGAAAGACCTTCAGGGGCAAATACTGACTTTGAGAGAGAGAAAGATGCTTAGTACCCTGTAGTCTGAGAAGACTACACTCCTGGGGCAGTTGGCAGGTTCCTTGTGGACGCAGTGCTGTTATCGTGGCTTTGTTTTGGTGTTTTTAGGTAAAGTGGTACCCAATTAATAGCAGTGGCTATCAGTCTCCCTTATTATGGGTTTGTTGACTAGCAGTACAGCAAAACTGAGTATTAATCACTTTCAATCAATAATGTATCTAATGATGGCTGGCAACCTTAACACCTGTCCTGTTGATTAGGACTTCATCCCCATTTTAGCTCTTGAAATATTATTGTTTCGATGGTAAGAAGAGGCATGATTAGACGAACCTGAGGGGAAAATGCCAAAGAAAAGGAAAGTATTTCATCAAAAGGCCTAGAACATCAGGCTTAAGTTGGCCATTTGTATCTCTTTTCCCCTGAAACTCATTCCTGGTTTCTGGTTTGTTTCTAAGGTTCAAGGTGGGAGGAAGAGGATATTCTTCTCAGAAAGGTGGAGGTTATAGGTTTTTCTTACTGCATTGGGTACATGAGATAAGAGACTCCAAAACATGATTCCTCTGTGGAGTGCTAATAAGATAGACAAGCAACAACAAGGAAGAAGTCACAGGTGGGGGAGAACAATTGCTCTGAGAGACAGCTAACCACAAACACGTTGGCACAACATCCTGTTCTCAAATACCTTGCTGTACACATAACCCAAGGAGCATTACCTTATCTACACATAACTCCTCCAGCACAACCCTATAAAACTTCCCTTCAGCCCCTGCCTCTTTGCAGACAGTCCCCTCTCTGCTGTGATGCTTGTTGCTTCCTTGCAATGTACTTTCTGTCTAATAAACTTGCTTTCTTAAACTCACTGTTGTTTCAGTAACTGTTACCACCTATGACATTTTGGTGACCCGTGTGGGGACCTCTCCCCTACTCTTCTCCTTTCATGTTTTCCAACTCCAACCTCTCGTTGGACAGCATCCAAGCTTGGAGACAGCTGATGATCCTCAGCCATGGCTATTCTCCAGGAAGTCAGAAGGTCCCAGTAGAAAGACATCTGAACACTGCCACTCAATAGGGTGAGAAATGAGAGTTTACTTTTCTTTCCAGTCTTTCAGCAGACAATCTCTAATATACTGCTGGCAACTGATGGCAACTGGCCAGGGCCATTTCTTGTGTAGCCTGAAGGTCAAAGGGTGAACAGGTTTGGCTTCCTTGCCTGGAAGGAAGGCTCTCTTCTAACCTTTCTGGTCAAAAGTTCCCAATCCCTATGTGTGGTGCAATTGGCAGTGGCAGCTCAGCCAGAGCAAACCCACATGCATGTTGGGGGAACTCAGACCCCTCTCTCACTCTAAATTCTCCCATGAAGACAGCCAGCCATCCTGCTTTGAATGTTTTAAGATGGGTGATCTCAAACAGCATTGGAATGATAAGTCATCCCTGAACCTTTTCCCCTTGTACCTGGATTGAGCTCCCTGCACAGTTTCTACCTGGATTGACCTGGGGCTGCTCTTGCAGTGTTTATCCAGTGTAAGGCCCTAGTGCCAGGAGATCCTTTCCAATAGATGGGATGCCCTTTGGAAAGTGCATCTTAGAGTCCCTCAGCAGACAGCTTTTAACCTGCTAGCTCCCTACCCCTACCATGTTCCATGTGAGGTGGTGTGGGACTGTGTCTACCATGAAGAGATTGCTGTATCCCATCTCTGGCTCCTTCCCACCTGGAGATCAATGTAACAAAAAAGTGATGGTTCTGTCCTGCTCAGTGCTGGTCATATGTTGTACTCCTTTTTGGAAACTTTAATAGGAATACAGACAAAATTGCGGGCATTCAAAAGTAAGTGACCAGAATAGCCAAGAGAAACAAAACCAAGCCTGTCTCCTGCATAAAAAGTGTGTGTGTTGAAGGCAAAAATTGTATTTTATTTATCTCTGTTTATATTTATCTGGCAGAGGACCAGGCACATTATAGGATTTTAAGAGATGTTATTTAATGAGTGAGTGAGTTAATGAATGAATGCATATGAAGGAATTTACCGTTTAAGTTATTAAGGATGTACAACCAAAAGTAACCATGAAGACTTGAAACTTTCAGCTTTCATGTGGAAGAAGATCCTCAAAGTTTAGAACAAAAGTGTTGAAGTTACAGGAAGATTGACATAGGCCCAATGGAAGGAATAAATGTCTAACAATCAATTTCATTATATTATAGTCTTGTCTATTCTATCCAAAAAAGTGTCTATTAAAAGTCAAGAAGTAGCACTCTATTGACAGTTGTCCTAATTATAGAATGTAAGGTAAGAGAGAGAGATTGTGCCTGTGTGCTTATACTGTGCCAGGCTTATTAAGGGCATCACATTAATTCTCTCATTTAATCCTCACAACTCTCAATGAGGTGGATTTTATCATTATCGCTCTTTTTACAAATATGGAATTTGAGGCAGAGAAGTTAAATAACTTAAAAGTCACATTGTTGATAGTAGAACCAGGATCAAACCCCAAAATTTTCATTCTGGGCTCTGCTCTCAGATAATGGCAGCAGATAAAACAGAGAATCTGCCCTTGGTACCTTAGCCCAATGCTCACCAATATATTGCTTCATTTACTCATTCATTTATTACTTTAAAAACATGTTTGATGGCCTACCTCTACAAGATATTGTGTTAGGTACGGGAAATGTGTAAGTGAATACTAAACAATTTCTGTATCAATAAACTCCTCTTCACCGTAGCTCTGTATTGCCTTAAATATGCCTGAAACAAATAATGAGGTGGAGGCTAACATGGATTTATTAAATAATTTGCAATTTCTGGACAGAGACTGGGATTGCTGATGAGAAGTAAGACAGTATGTGGAGAGACAGGTTCAGGTTGGGAAGCTTTATAGGAGTCCAGATGGTAGGGATGGGCCAGATTCAAGCAAGCAGAAGAGCTGGGACCTAAGTGGGCTGAGGCCTTCATAGCACCCCAAAACAAGCAGAAGTGTTACATGAAATCTACATTGAGATGCAGGGAAACCAAGGAAGGTTACTTGGGAGGGTCAGCTGGATTGTCCATGGCTAACGTGGTGGAATTAGTCTTAAAGTATGGGGACACAGTATATTAGCTTGTTACTGCATTACTATAAATAACTACTAGAGACTGGGTAATTTATAAAGAAAATATGTACAATTGGCTCATCGTTCTGCAGGGTATACAGGCTTCTGCTTCTGGGGAGGCCTCATAAAATTTACAGTCATGGTGGAAGGCAAAGGAAAGCATACACATCTTTAAATGATGAAGCAGGAGAGAGGAGAGAGTGAAGGGGGAGGTGCTACCAGATCTTGTGAGAACTCTGTCAAGAAACAGCACTAAGGGAATTATGATAAGTCATTAGAATCCACCCCCATAAGCCAGTCACCTCCCGCCAGGCCCCATCTCCAACACTGGGGATTGCAATTCAACATGAAATTTGGTTGGAGACATACAGCCAAGCCATATTACACATTAAGGGAATTAGTCTTAAAGCAAGGGGTAACAGAACCTCAAAGGAGGCAGATGAGGTGTATGGTCCTTATTCTCTATGAAGCTCAGGTATTTTTCTAAATCTTGAAATAGGAATTATAATAATTTCAGAAGATAGTCATGAGGATTAAGTGAGATTAAATGTAGGTAAAGCACATTTTGCTTGAACAAAGTAGGTACTCAGTAAGTGTTAGTTCCCTTCTCCAATATCCAGCTTTAAAAAGGCAAAGCTTGAGCCTCCCCTATACTACCCTTATTCTTCCTGCTCCTAAAGAACTTCTGTCCTATTGTTAACTAAGCTTGTTATGAGTTTCATAATAATCATACCTTTGAATGGAACATAAAAGAAGGAGAGTTTTCTCTTCTTCTACCTATTGTAGAAGAGTTTTTGGGAGAAGAGGACATTGACTTTTAACTATTTTTTCTTAGAGAACCTTTTTTAGAAGTTACCTCGTATATGCTTATAAACATTAAAAATATTGTACATGTTCACTTACCATAAGAGTCAATTCACTAAGGGTGTATTGAAATGTGTCATACTAAACCAAGATCCTTATGGGTTTGTATTCTCATAGGAAAGTCAAATATCCCAGATAGTAACTTAATATTTCAGTTGCTTGAATTTTGTTCGTTAAGCAGAATATGAAATACCTTTAGTTGAATATTTTCCTAAAAACCTATTTGAGATAGTATTTCAATCATTTCTTGATTAACTCATTTCTATCACTTAACTATTACACATATAATAGAAAATACCCCAAGATTATACTTTTCAAATCTAGTTTTAGAGAGATAAGAAATAGTAGAGAGAATGATATTGAATAGGTCAGTCAAAATAATTATATTAGATATTTCTACAGCAGGAAAAGATTTGGGTATTTAAAAATGCATATACTATGGAAGAAAGTCATGGAAGGCCACAAATAACATATTTCTCTAAATGTGGTCCTTGACTTCAGGTATATTGTTTAAAAGGAAGAGGAAGCCCCTTAGCTAATGTGACCTTAAACGGTTTGTATGACATCCACAGTATCAGTTCCTGAGTCCTTACAGTGAAAGTATATTAAAGAACCCTTCTTCTATAGAGCCAGCTTCCAGCTACTTAAAACTCATTTGGTTATTGACTTCATAACATATTACCTTATGGCCTTGGTAAACTTTGTAAACTCTCAAATCTTGTATTTTCTCATTTGTAAAACTCTTCAAAGGATGAAATGATATTATATATGAATGCAGTTTATAAACTTAAATTCTCTTTTTTGTTGTTTCAGTCTTACAGAGAAGTTATTTTCTGGGAAAATAAATTCAACCAAAGCTTTGAAAGACTCATTGTTTTACATAAGATGACCTCAGTTCATTTACAATCTTTTTGTACAAATAAATTTAGGTGAATATTGCCTACATATTTCAATGATAATTTCTTACGATGGCATGCTCAAAATAACAGTCTTCTTCATCCACTTCATCCTTACTTTTATCAAAAGGTTTACTGCATTGTTATTTAAAAATTATAATCACTTTGTTGCCAATGTCAAAGTCCAGTGAATTATAAATACCATTTCTCATAGACATACCTGCATTGTATTTATCTAGTTTCAGAAATCCTCTGCATGTAAAAATTCAACACTGACTCAAATGTCTGGTATTTTGCTTCTTATAAATAGCTACATTATGTTTTCTTTCTCATACACTTTTGTATAGAAAATGTACTTCTAAGTTCAACTCATTCCACATTATTATGAACAGATTTCATTTAACAAAGAACTATTACCCTGCAGAGGTTTGATGTGTATATTTGCATGCCAATACATGGAATGTGATTTTGCCTTAAGGCTACTTTCACAGCTATAATGATTTTTGCCTTTCCAGAACTAAGTAAATGTGTCTAGATGGCGCACATTTTGTATCACTAGATATAATGAAATTATTCATTCCTTGTCTACATAGAATGCATCTATCTTTATCTAGCATCGGTATCAACTAAGATAATATTCTTTTCTGTCTTTTTCTTTCTTTCATTTTCGAAATTTAGCTCACATGTATATTGTTTCTTTTTTTTTTCAGCCTGAGTAATTCATTGTCATGCATTTAAAAAATCTGTTTAATTATCTGAAGACTTTTGAGTTAGCTTGCTATAATAATTCAGATAATTATACACCATTCTATATTAGGTAGCTTTTCTGAATATAATATTTTCTGATTAATTACCCCTTGAATTGTTGCAAAGAATAGTATTGAAAGTGTTGATAACAATGATACGCTAGACTTTTTTGTAAAGGCTTTTTTTTTTTTAAAGGCCAGAGTATATAAAGCATCTTTCTTATCGAAGTGGGAGAGTTTCATAACCCCCTCCTGGGATAGGCAACAGGGATGTGGCTTATCTGTTTGGCTGCTGTGTGTGCTCAAACTCCCTTACAGAATGGGGAGCTTGCAGATGGGCAGGTTAGTGTTTTTGGGTTCCTGCCTCATGGTGGTGTCTAGGGATGAGTGCTGTGACTCCCAAAACCCAAGTGGCATGTGCTACACTGTTTCTTACCTTTACCATCTGCAGATGGCTTAAGTGTTAACCAGCTTAGTGC